AGTCCCCATCTCTCTCTGCTGGGTAGTTTCCATTGATGGCTCTTCAAACATCAAACACAGGACATCCATATCAGACTCTTAATATATTTCAAAACTCCTCCTCCTTTTGCTGTATTTGCAAGCTCTGTTCACATCTCTACTCATTATACCCATTCCCCCAGGTAGGAAGCATGAGGTCATTCCTGAATTCTCCTTCTCTTTTCTACTCACATATAATTCCATCCAATCCAATTCAATCTGCAACCATGTCTTAGGTCTTTCATACCTACTTCCATGGCCAGACCCCCATCACTTTTTCCACAGATCACATCAGCAGCTTCCTGAACTATTTCTCTCCAGTCTCTTCTCACCAATCAATCCTTCATAGAGCTTCTTGAACCATTTTTCTAAGTCCCAACACTTGGGATTTTATTTCTCTCTTTCAAAAACCACTGAGGGTCTTTTTGCTATTCCTTAGCATGACATTTGTGCTCAACACTGACCTGCTCCTCATGGCATTTTGGTTGCTCTGCTTGCATTTTTCCTCGTCATTGTTTCTGCTTGTATTGTTCCTGTTCCTAGAATTCTTCTCTCTTGCTCTCTCTCTGTCAGAACCTTTTTCATGGCCCTGCTCAAATCCCATTTCCTATGTAAAAATTTTCATTCTGCAATGAAAACACCTTAAAAACATTTACTCTGAACTCCTGGGCATCAGGCACTGTGCTGGGTTTTCATGAAATAGCATAAATAAGATATACACTGTTGTTCTTAGTCTCTTGCAGGAGTAGACTATACAAATAAATAATTAAATATTAGTGGCAATGTGTGCTGCTTAAAGAAGAGAAAATGTTGCCAGAAGCAGAATGATGTAAAGGGGTGGAGGCGAGGGAGTATTCATTTACATCTGTGGAGTGGGGGAAGGCTTCTCTGGAAGTGATGCTACAAAGATGATAGGATTTAGGCAGAAACAGCAGTGGAGAAATGGCAGTGTAGGGCCCTGCAGCAGGAAGGAATGAGTCTGGACAATCCCAGGGGTCAGAATGTTCTGCTCTGTTTCCTCCATGCTCACACACCTTCTGTGATTACATGTACTGGCACCTGCTATATTTTAAAGAAAATTATGCAGTTTTATGAGTTTTATGACTGAGGAGTCTGGGTAAGGCTAGGGTGTTACTTCATTAACAATTCATCGATGCAACAAGTATTTCTGCCCACCTAATATGTAGATGCCAAGGCACAGTTTGACCCCGTACAGTGGTGAGGGGACCCCGGGCTCCCTGCAGTGACCCAGTGTCTATATCTCCAGGGGTTGGCATAGCACTGATCACACAGTGGAAAGGCAGGAAAAAGGAAAAATTGAGTGCCCAGGAATGTGTACCTGTGATAATCAGAGCAGGTTGGCCTCTCATTGAAACTCTGGTTACCAGTGTGCCCCTGAATAGCCTCAGCTACTCTAAGTCATTCTGGAGACCGATGAGCCTCTCACAAAATATCCTGCAGAGACAGCAGAGGCGTGCACCCAAATCCTCCATGCCAGTCCCCTGGATGCTCCAGCACAAGCCAGCCCCCTCTGAGAGCAGACTTGCTGCCAGTTTTGTGTCGTTTGACCGTGTTCTAGTCTGAGCTAATTTTGTAAGTCAAATTGCTTAAGAGTGAATATGAAATCTTTGACTGAAGCCCAAATATATAAATACCCATCACATTTCCTTCCTCCCCAATTTTGCAATCATCCAAAAAAGCTGTTCATGTTGTCCAGCATAATTAGTTATTTATACACCCTCATGTGGTCCATTGTTCAGAATTAAATTGTCTGGTATACAGAATTTCTCTTGCAAGGCTTGTTTTGCCATTTTACTGCTTTTTGGAAGCTGTTTGTAAATATGTCCTTGTGGAACCCTTTGGGATACTTGTGAGTATATTCAGGCTTGTGGGGTGGGGATGGGGAGACGAGCCATCCCACGTATAGGAGTATGGCCTCTGAGATCTCACACTATCTCCTGCCTGCTAACACAGAAATTACCAAGACTCATTCATCTCTGCTTTAAAGGTCCAACAGAATCAGAGCATGAAGGAACACAAAATTCATCACAGAAAAGTAGAAGTGGAAATTTTCTTGGAGATCTAGTGGCTAGATGATAGTGACTCCATTTTGTCCAAGAGGAAACTAGTTCCCAGAAAGGGGAAGTGAAAGGGTCTGGCCACAGCCCCTGGTGGGTAAGTGGCAGAGCCAGGCCCAAACCCTCTTGAGCACATTCTTGCTACTAAACCACTAGGTGTACTGATGTGGGAGTGTGTCGGACATTTGTGGCCTTTGTTCCTGAATTCAAACTAGATGGTCCCAGCCTGTCCTGTGCTGGATCCTTGCATCTATATTCTATAGCTCTTTCAGCCTCCCAAATCGTTGGGCATTATTGATGAGTGTTGTCCATCATGTAGCAATTCTGCTTTCTCTTCTGTCATGTGGTGGTCAGAAATTCCAGACGGCCCATCATTTTTATGTAAAATGACATTTCTAATCTTTTTTCAGTTGTTTCCTAGTTAGGTCCGGAGGATCCTGCTTTATAGGAGACATCCTAAGAGTTATGACACAGGGTGTCTACTATCTTGGTAAATGTTCCATGCAAATTTCATGGAACAGAGTATTTCCTTGAGCAGAGTATTCCATAAATATCAATTAGACATAGTGGTTGATGGTGTTATTCTCTTCTGTATCCTTGCTGGGTTTTCATCTGTTAATTTTAGCTTGCGAAACATTAGCTTTGATGTTCAGAAGTCCTTCTAGGTTTTCCTTCCATATAAGAATATAAGATCCCGGTTCTTATTTTAAAATGGAACTTTCTAACTAGTCAGCCAGGTTTGGGATCAATAGTTGGGTATTTCTGGAATGGCTGGGCAGATGGTATGACTGGAAAAATCTTGATATCTTCCTTCTAACAGACATAGATGGCCTGTCAATATGCAAACTTACCACAAAGGTCTTATGTGAATTCTCACAGGACTAAAACCTGTTGTTATAACTGAAAAATATCACATCAACTAGCCAACATCCTAACATTTAAGACACATCATCTTCCTATGCTATGTTCCATAAAATCCCCAGATTGTCTAAAATGACCATAAGTTAGTAGTAATACAATTTATTGGATTTTAAATATATTTATTACTTTATATTTCTATTTTAAATTATTAAATGTGTAGCCATACAGAAGAGAAAAAACAGATGTCATGTACTCACCATCAGAATGAGCAGATGCTAACATTTTGCCATATTTGCTTTAGATCTCTTTTTTTCTTAAAAGAAATGGAATGTAACACACAGTTAAAGCCCACTTTCCATTTCCTCCCTCCCCCCTACCTTCCTTCCTTTCCACCCTCTACAGAGGAAACCACAATTCTGAATTTGGTAGGTATTATCCCCATAAATGTTTTGGCACTTTCACTACAAGTAAATATATCCACAAACAATACATGGCCAAGACAATTTCTTGGCTGTTCATTAGTTTTATAATCAGAGGAGAAAAAAGACTCATCTCCCATGTTCAGAAGCCCCAGGTCCATTTTGATCTCTATTTCTTCCAACGGATTTTGCTTTAATCCTGGTTTTTCAGTTCTGTTTCCGGAGATCTTCCTACCGAGCTTTATTCCCTCTTAGCTTAAGTCTCGTCTGGCTTTTGTCTGAAGTGGTAGCTTGGATACTGCTCCCATGATTTGGCCTTTCTGAAGCCGTGTTCTGCCTGCCATGGCCATTGCCCAGCCCAAGTCCCTACCCTTTGGCCCTGAGTTAGGACTTCCCACCCAACTCCCACACCTGGACACCTTGTTACCCGCTATTGTCTGGTCTGTGAGAGGATAAAACTGCTGTTGTCAGACCTGACCTATCTACTCAGATTCTAACACCAGAAAGAAGGTTCAGTTCTCATCTTGCCTCTTCTCTGCTTAGATTGTCCATGTTAGGAAGCCAACCTCTTGAGAGCTAGGAGAATAGAAGCTCAGGAGGATGGTGATCATGACTGATAATAGCTAACATTCTTGAGTAACATAATCAAAATAGTGACAGGAATTCAACATATGTTGTTCAAAATAAAATAACTGCTGTCTATAGAGGACCTACTGTAAACCAGGTACTGTGTTAGGCACTTCTATCTCATTTGCTTTTAAGAATAATTATATTATTGTATAGATGAGAAAATTGAGGCATAGAGCAGCAGTGTGCTGCAATGGGATTTTGGGGATATAGAGTAAGATGGACTTGGGTTTAAGCTCTGGATCTACCACTTAAAATTTCTATTGACTTTCCTGAGTTATTGACTGAGTGCTGACTCTTTGCCAGACATTATGCTATGAACTTTCAGCATATTATATCATTTAACCCATATCCAATTCCAAAAAAAAAAAAAAAAAAAAAACACAATAGACAGCTGTGCAGGACACTTACTCTATACCAGACACTATATTTGGCTGTCAACATAATTAATTTACTCCACACAACACTGTAAGATAGATGTGTTTATTATTCTCACTTTATATATAAGGAAATTGAGACAAAAACCCAAGTCCCAAAGCTGAATTTGGATTCTAGATTAAGTGGTGATTATAGAGTCAATCATTTACATACATCAGCACTCTCTTTTCCGTGCTCAGCACTGCAGGACTGCTTAGTACTGACTCAATGAGATATAATTATGTGCGTTTTACCGATGAGAATACAGACCCAGAGAGATTAAGCATCTTGTCGATATTTGGAAATTATCAGGGTAGGGCCTGGTCTAGTCCATGCACAGCCCTTGTTTTGAATGACTCACCTCTGCTGTCAAAGATGTGACAAAGCTGGGCTAGCGATATACACATTTCCCCATATGAAAGGATTATGACATTTTATTTTTTGTGTGTGTGTGTGTGCCATGGTATGCTTCTTTTGTTTATTTATTTTTTTTTAATAATAAATTTTATTTTTATATTCCCCATACAATTGCAGCCCCCCCATTCTGACCCCAATCCCTCCCCTCCCACCCCCGCCCGGATTATGACATTTTAGCATTTCTGTATGTCTACTAAGTGCAGTGAATTGGGCTGGACACTGTATATGCTGGACAGAGTGGGGAATTACAAAGACAAAGACATAGTCCCTGTTTCCAAGAGACAAAAAACAATTAGAATGTTCTTCTGACACTTCTTTCTTTTTCCCTGGAACTTGAGGCTGCTTCTTTATCCATCTTCCCACAGAGAAATCTTGAGGAAACAGGAATAGCCAGGAGGGACCTAAGAAAGAGTTAAATGCAGGGTGGTCAATAAAGGTGGGGGGCGGGGACACTGATAGGTCTAGGAGGTGAGTGGGACTGACTTTGATTTGCAGAGTCAGGATCATGACCAGGTTTGGAGATTTTTTGGCCCTAGAGAAGATAGCAGCTGTGCACGCCCAATTTCACGCTGGACACTAGGGTGTAAGCCAGGTTGTGGAAATGGTGGTCCACACTATGTGCAGAGGAGGCCAATGGCTAGACTGGAGCCATCCAGTCACTTAGCCTGACCCCTTTCTATGATGGGATGGATCCCTGCTTTCACTTGCAGACCACAGTCTGAGTTCTGGACATTGTGCAGGATGGGAATGGGAGTCTCTGGTTTGGCTCCCAACTTGGCTACTCACCAGCACATGATGGTGAGCAAGTCAATTATGCCTCTAACCCTCCATTTCCACAATGACTCTGTAACATGGGCATAAGATTTTCTACTGTGCTTGTGTAGCCTAAATTAGGCTGTGATGCTATGAGCGCACTTGGCTAACTGTGAGTGCTAGGTGCACGCGAAATGCTGAAGAAGAAAAAAAGTCTAGGTTTTGCCTCCTCTGTAGTTCTTGATGACAGGATTGTGCTGACAGGGTGTGCAGATTGACTCACACATACTTGACAGGAAAACAGGCATAGTTCTTACCTGACTCAGTTTCCAGCTTGAATTATGAAACTTACCCATGAAAATCAACTGGCATTAGCAAGTTTTCTATGTGGGGGTGTAGGTTAGGGGAGGAACTGTGCCAGAAAGGAGAGGTCTATGCTCTTATGCTCAGGATCCAGGCCTGGAAATTAGTGTCTTTGAAGTGAAATCTGCCTCCAGCTCCCACATGGCAAGGCAAACATAGAGAGTGGGGATGAGGGAGACCTGATTTCTTCTGAGCTCTGCCCCTCTCTCTAGGCCGCAAGCACATCTTCTGTTCCTCTCCCCGTCTCAGTTGCTCCAACTATAAAACAACAAACTACTTTCCAACACCTAGAAAGGACCTAGGGTTCTTTTCATGCACGGGGAGGTTTCTAAGGCTGTGGTGAAAGAGGTAGGAACCCCACCTCCAATCCAGTTTCACTCACACGGCCTAAGTCCAGGCCTTTTAAAACAATTCTGGATTCGGCCACCAAGTGGTGATAGAAGAGAGCCAGAGGATCTGTGCACGTCGGTGAGTGTGCGTGCGTGACAGAGGGCTTTTACATGAATCATTTTGTATCTGGCAGGGCAGCACCTGCTCCTCAGCCTCCAAAAGCAGTGCGAGCAACACGATCATTCAAAAGCTGCCGCTTTCCATTCACGTCTATAATTAGAGAGCAAGCGGCAGCGGTCGCAGGCGCGGGCGCTGCGGAAGAAGGGCCTCTGGGCGGGCCCTAACCTCCTAGCTCCTCCCGCCAGCACCCCGCCCCGCCTCCCCGCCCCCGTGGCACCACCCCCATCCCGCCCCCGGTGGGGGGCTTGGCTCTCAGCCGCAGGATTCCTTTGGTTATCGCCTGGACGCCCCGACCCTCGATGTCCTCGCTTTGGGATTACTCCGGTGCAGTAAATAAGCACCGTGGCGGATGCGTTTGCAGGAGGGCAGCTATATTTAGGGTGGCATCCCCTTTACCCCGCCCCGCCAGCCCCTGCGCCCCGCCTTCTCCCCGCCGCCTGCTCGCCCCTCCCGCTCCCTGCCGCCCCTCCCAGCCACCTCTCCCTCTTTGTCGCATTACATAGTAATCTGAGATGCATGGGATGAGCTCCAGGGAACAGAATGTACTTGGCAGAGACGCGAGGCTTGATGTCTGCAAAATGTCGGAAACGCAGCCAAGAGCTGCTAACTGGGTCATTAACCTCCAAAAGCAAAGCGAGGACTGTAAGCCCGCTCTGCCTCCCTTCATCTCGCCAATAAAAGTGCCTCAGTGTGAAGGGAAGAAAAAGCCCAAGGTTGGCGGCTTTGATTTCTAGGCACCAAAGGCAGCTCAGCCCCTCCTCCTGGCCCGGGCCCTCAGGGCCGCCCCTGCGCCTCGTATGAGCGGACAAGTGGCCTTTGAAAGGTTCAGCAACCCTGCGGGGCCACGCTCACGCCTAGGAGGGATGTTACCCCGCAGCCCTTCCCCACTGCACGGCCTGGGTCCATTTTCTTGAGTCTGGGAGGAGAAGGAGGAGGGAATGCAAGATTAAGGAGGAAGGTTCTAGGGCCATCCCAGACATCACAGTTAGAATGAAGAGTTTTGCTATCCCTCTCTTCTGATTCTGCCCCTTCGTCCTATCCCTTCTGGCCCCCCTCCCTCGTCTCCTCTCTGAGAGCAGGCTGTGGCGTTGGTGCTTGAGGACATGGCCGGGCTCCAGCAGACTTGAGCTCTGTCTGTTGTTGTGTGACCTTGGATGAGTCACCCGTTTGTCTGCTCCTTAATTCCCTTAGATGTCAGTTGTTCACGGTCATAACACCTACCTTACCTCTCTCTCAAAATTGTGAGATCCAAATGTGAAAATCTCTTATAAACTGCAAGTTCTCCTCAGGGTCAGTTTGTCCTGCTTACCATGGCTACAGCCCCAAGCAGCTAGGTCCAAACTTCCTCTGGCCTTGTGTGTATTCCTGGAAAATAGAAATAGAAGTGGTCTCACCAGAAAGCTTTAAAAATTTGAATACTCACCAGGGGAGAGTCCCTAAAATCCACCCCCCTTAAGCTGTCTAGCTCTGTTGGATTGCCAAACAGGCACTTCCCTCTAAGGTCCATACCCACTTCTTCAGCAGCTGCTTGGAGAGAGAAAGTGCTTGGTTCTGAAACTAGAAGGGGAGGTGCAGTTCCTCAGATGGTGAGACTCCCTTACTTGTGGGAGGGAGGACAGCTTCATGGCCTGGTGAGACCAGCAGCAGCCTGTGGGATGTGAGCCTGGACATCTGGGCAGTATCAATCGAAATGCAGGCCAGGGAAAGCCAATCTGTGCAACCCTACTTTTGAAAGGAGGACAGCTTATCCCTGGTGATGTCTACAAAATTAGAGCCAAGTCCAACCAGGGGCCTGTACCCTTCTGGCCTCATCTCTTGCTGGTTTCACTCTGTGTCCGGCTGCAGGCACGGCAGGTCCACGGCCTCCTTACTGTACCCTGGAAAGGCCAAATGCTGCCCGGCCACATCTTTCACTGAGGCTTTCTTTTTAAAAAATCTTCTGGATGACTGTTCTGCCTCTTGTTGTCCCACATTCAAATCCTTTACATCCCTCAAAACTCAGCTCAAATGCTAACTCCTGTTTCTAGAGGTGATCCCTTTTGCTTCAATTCTTCCTTGGGACCTTTTTATAATGTTTCAATATCACCAGCCAGCTTTGAATTTTTCTATCTCTGTGTTAACTATATCCTTCTGACGGAGTGGAGATTCTCCGTGGGTAGGGACCTTTTGTTGATCTCAACTGTGAAGGTTAAGGCAACCGTATATCTTGGTTTGCCTTCCCAGTTTTTGCCTGTTGTCTTGGTATAATTATTAATAGCCCTCTCTTCCACCCTGAAGTGCTCTGGTTTGGATGATAAATTACTAAGGGTCTCTATCCAAGACTCAGTAAATGTGGTGAAACTGCCTTGCAGAAAATGGAAGAGCTGTTTCTTACCCAATTCTCTGGGGTGCTCAGCTCTCCCCTTTTCTCCAGTCTGGAGGCAGGCTAACATTTGTTCCTCTTCCTCTTCCCTGGGGAAGAACTGTACAAGGACCTAGTACCACTTTCTTTTTGACAAGCCATCCAGAATTTCAAAATCCTCTGACCCAAAAAGAACTTGCTTACCCTGATTCTTCCCATTCTTCTCAGCCCCTAAACAGTAAGACAGCTGCTGACTGCTGAAAGGAGGTGTCAAACGTAGGAAGGACAGGACTTAGTCTGGGGCGGGGGTGGGCAAAGTCCATGTTTCCACGCTCAACTAGGTTTTGACCTCGTGCAATTTCTTTGATGGCCTTGCTCCTCAGAAATAGCTTTACTTAATGTTGTTGTCTAGAAGGGCACAACTTGAAAAGCTCAGAGCTGCCTTATTATAAAATATGTGGTTAACATTCTAGGTAGGGCTTGAGGGTAGGAAAGACAAGATCTCTTGTCTTTTTGCATCATAAGTTTTCTCAAAAGAAGCCTGTTGGAGTGAGAGTTAGTGCGCTTATTTTTTAAAGATACCAAGCATTTGGAAATAACAGCAGGCAAGTTGGCTGGCCTTGTGAATGGAGAGCGAGCGTCGGGAAGCCTGGGTCTTCTTTCTCCTTCTGCTCTGACTCACTGCTTTCTGGAGGATGAATCATATGCCCTTTCTGGGCATTGGGTCTCACTTCCTTCATCTCCCCTATAAAATGGGCGTATTTGCCATTCTTACCACACAGGAGGGGGCTGAGGCTTTAAGAGGCCTGGATAATTACACAAAAAATATTATTAAAAGTAAAAATGTGCTGTAAGTATGTTTTGAGACTCTGGAAGGCACACATAGGGAGTATGTGAGAACATTTGATGCTGCTGCTGCTTTAGTTTAGAAACTAGAAATGGGCAGGAAAATCAGACTCAAGAGAGAGGAGGGAATGAGCCTGGTCAGGATAGAGCAAGAGTCATATGAGATCAGCAGCAGCAATAAAGAAGAGGCACACTCCAGAGGAGACTAGAATAAAAGGCCACAGAGACTATTCCATGGAGGGCTTCCATGTCAGCCAGGGACATTTGCACTCTTTCCTGAAAGCCACGACACTCTTTGGGGGTGATGAAGCAGGGACATGGTACCATCCACAGTGCATTTCAGCAGAACCCATTAGATGGAGGGGCAGACTCAGGAGCTAGCATCGTCACATCCCAGTTTGGCCTTAAGCAAATGGTGGCGCCCCTCTATATGTGCTTCAGTTTGTATCATTGTTTTTTTTTTTTTTAAGAAGATTTATTTTTTATATATGCATACAACTGGAGTACAGGCCAGAGGTGCGGTGGGTGGGGGTGAGAGGATTCACCAGAGACAGAGTGAGGAACAGAACAGGCAGACTGACTGAATACACTGCTGAGGGGAGCAGCAGGCAAGACAGCAGGGGTCTGCTGCACCATGTGTGTGCTCCCTGGCCGGCCGGTGATGGGGATCGATCTAATGCTGCAGAGGCTGTGGATAGCTTCACAGTGCTTGCTTAAACCCTTGCACCACTAGGGAGGCCCCAGTTTCTATCACTGTAAAATAAATGAGTGAGATGGCCCCAAAGAGCTCTAATGTGTTGTAAAGCCCACGAGTAAACATCTTGAATGTGCATGTGTGTGTGCATGTGCATGTGTATGTGTATGTACGTGTTTGGGTTAGGGGAAGAGGTGAGTATGTGGTAACTGATCTGTTAGACATAAAACCAAGCTTGACAGCCTTGGGAAAGTTCCTCAGAGAGGAAGTCTGACCAGTCTCAAGACCTCAGTCAAGTCTGAAGGACTCCCTGTATATTCAGAACTCCAAAATCCTTCTGCAGATTCCAACACAGCACATCTCTACTTTAGGGCTTGGTCAGCAGCCTCTGTCTAGACTTGTCTGCTATCTACTTCCTAGTCCAGCTGAGACAGCTGATACTTGAGAAGACTGGATTGAGGTTCATGCTAACCAGCTGTTCCTCAAGATGCTTCAGCTCTCTCCCTGTCTTGTATTACGTTTCCAAGAAGCCTCATACCATCCAGGACTACATGGCATAGTGTCTCAGAACTCTGTTAGAACTAGGACTTGACAGTATGTGTAAACCTTTGCCATTTTTAGCAAGGTCTGCTATAAGATTGGCATATAGGAGGTCCTTTAGTATGAAGACACTATCAGGGTATCTAATATCAGCTGTTATTTAATGGTTTTTACGTAAAGAGAAATGCCCTTATAACTCACATAGTAAAATCTTCAATATAATTTAAAGAACTTTTGGTGATTTTGTGGCTTATAGCAATTCTTATAGGTTGAGGGGTACTTGCATTTATGCTTTTATTGTAAACGTCATCACATATTTTTTTCTTTTTTTTTAGATTTATTTATTTATTTATACAAGCATGGGTACAGTTAGAAGTGTGGGAGGGTGAGCGAACTCACCAGAGCCAGAGCAAGGAACAGGACAGGCAGACTGACGAAATACACTGCTGAGGGGAGTGGCAGGCATGGCAGGAGAGTCTGCGCACAATTTGGGCTCCTCCCCGGAGGCCAGGGATCGAACCGGTGCTGCAGAGGCTGCCGGCAGCTTCGCAGCCCAGTGCTCAACAGCTGCACCACTGGGGAGGCCTATCATCACATATTTTTTTCAAGTAGCTTGCATAAGTAAATAAATAAGGATTCAGCTGGACCTAAGACAGTGAGGGAAGTGGAGAAATAAGCCCACTTGTGAATAGTGAACTGACTGAAGTTCTTTCAACACTGGTTGAATTAAAAGAACCAAATATCATAAAGTTGGGGAACACACCTCCACTTTTTTTTTTCTCAGTAGTGTTTTGTTACTTGGGGTCTTTTATAGTTCCAAATAAATTTCATGATTTAGAAAAACAAATTTCAGAGCATCACAACTGAAACAAATTTCACACAGATCATTGACTTGTGATTGCTGCTTTTGAGCTGCAGTTTTGTTTGAGGTGGTTTGAAGGGATCTTGATTATCTGTAAGCAGGGCAAAGACTCAATGGTAATTGGAAGGAGAAAAGTTAAATCACCTTGGTAGGGTTATGGGATTAGCAGAGGTGTAAGTTATATGGTGCAATTTACATTTAGCCTGCATGAACACCACAGTCCAGGTTCATCCTATCAATTACTGTATAACCTGTAGATCTGCATCTCAGTATTTACCAAAGGCTAGGAGAGGGCAGTTGAGTTCTGAGGACTGTGCTAGTACTCCTGCTCTATTTTCCTAAAAGTCAGAGTCTATGTGGATTTGTTGATCAATTTCCAATTCACTTGGGAGTCCATAAACCTGCTGTTGGTGCCCCAAAGGCATCTTTGGAAGGGTGAGGGGATGTGGCTGAAAGTTGCTGCCGCAAGCTCTGCTCCCCACTGAGGAATATGTGTGTTCAGTGAATTATGAATTAATGAAGGGACAACTGTGCTTACCCTGCCTTACATGGAGTCCCTAAATAAAAACAAAATTCTAATTATGATATCCTAGAAACCCATAATCTCAGAATATGAAATGTGCTGTGAATCTGGAAGACTGGGGAAACTGAGGCTTAAGGAGACTAGCCCAAGGGACTCAGCCCAAGACATATAGCCAAAAACTCCGAGTCACGGCTGGAGCTCAGGCCCGGGCTGTTCCTTGGTACTAACTGTAGCCCAGTTTCTGAGTTGCAATGGATAGATAAATCTTTTGCTAGGACACTCAGTTGCTAATCTTTGATTACATCATTCTTGGACTCAAAAACCTTTGTGAATTTCTGCTGTCCATTCTTAGTTCAAGGTTCATTTTGTGTCATCATTTGGGCTCTGTCCATTATATCTGTCACAACTTTCAAAACATGTATGATCCCTTGCAGATGATGAGGCTGGGAGAGTGAGACAGGTGACCTCGCTTAAGCTGATTTGACTACTTCTGACACCCACCTAATCTAGTTAACCTTGTCCTGACTTCTCAGTTGTCGGTAGCTTTTTCATACAATTGACTGGGGAATCACATTTCTTAATGCACTTCCAACCTCTTTGGAGAGCTGTTTGTCTTTTTGGTAGGGGGAAGAGAAAGTAGAGCTGGAAAAGTCTTCAGTAGAATCTTACTAGACTATGAGCAGAATTCTATAAGACAAGGCAAGAAGGACCAATGATTTGTAAGTACAGAAGCCCACATAACCGAAGCTAGTCCTCTGGTGAGGGAGGCTGAGACAGTACTCCCAGAGT